CCATAAACCCCAAAACACCCCTAAAACCCTAACCCCAACCCCTAAAAAACCCCTGACCCCCAAAAAACCCTTAAAAGTTCAACTCGTCGGAACACCGGCATGCATTCTAAGGCAGGGATGCCTTTTTAGGCAGGGATGCATTTTTCGGCATAACACCGGCAGCGCAGGAAGGTAAAAATGGAGGAGAGCTGCGATAACAGTCAGTGGAAGGATGGAGAAGGTGGGGATTTAATTGATATTTAGGGAAATGAATCTGTTCAAGCTAAACTGGAACCGATGTGTTCACATTACAGTCAGATACAGGCAGAGGTGGACATTATAGATCCAGAAAGTAAAAATCCAAACCAGGATTTCATGTCAACCAACCAGTTGAGTATTCTGTGACTGTGACTCTTTATGCTCAACTAGTTGGTTGAAATGAAATCCTGGTTTGGATTTTTACTTTCTGGACCTGAAATGTCCACCTCTGGATACAGGTCACATGTACTTATGAATGTGAACCGTCAAGATAGACAAATCCGATCTGAGCAAAAAATCGGAATTGAACGATGTGGCTGGCAGTGTGAACGTAGCCTAAATGTCAAGTAATTGCACCAACAGCTATGGCTGGGTGATATTGTCATGCCCCAATCGCCCGCTCCTCTTGTGTGCCACTCCCCCTCGTTAACCGCATGTGGATTCCCCGTGTTTACCAGCTGTTCCTGATCGTTGTCAATTAGTCCATTGTATTTAGTCCGCGTTTCCGTTTGTTTCCCCAGTCCGGTCATTGATGTTGTATTGTCAATGTGTCTTTGCCTGCCTTTCGTGCAATTAAACCCGGTGTTCCCCTATACCTGGAGTTCCTTTGCTTGCTTCCGCCCTGGGACGTGATAGATATGGCTGAAAAACAATATCTTGATATTTTAGGTGCACTGTAAAAAATGTGACCCAATGTTACTTTAAAAATAATGGCAACAAAGTGACACGTAAAATAATTGAATAAATTTTAGTCTTCAGTTTTTAAATAAAATGTAATGACTTGGTGACCTAAATGTAAACAAAAAAAAATAAGTAAATGTTACTAAAATCTACAGCCTAATTATGTTGGGCTTAGTAATAAAATGGCAAATAATATATTGCCAAATAAGTTAATATAGCACAAAAATATTTAGTAAATTTAATTTCAGAGAAAAAAATCAATTGGTATTTATCCAATACCTGAGCAAAACTGGTTTATATATACTATATATATCTATGAGAAACAATTTCATATTAATTCAACATATCAAATAAATTGTTTTACATTTACTCAATATCTCAAGATCATTTATTTACTCTTACTACAAATCGAGTCTAATATAACATTATTAAATGTGTATGGATAATTTAGATTTGGACTCACTAAATACATTAATTTAAATAAATGAATTTCACCATATTGTCACTTCAATATACATTACAAATCTTATCAGTACCTACATGTGCAACACTAAATGCCACTTTGCAATTGCTTTATCTAATCTATTCTGTATTGTCTTTCTGGCACTACAGTTTAATTACATCCAGTCAACAGATGAAGTTTTCCAAGTAAACATTTATTTAAGCAATACAACAAAACATTTTTCAAGTGCAAATGGCAAAATATGACAAAACTGATAAGAGCTATAAGAAACATTCACAACAAGGATATAATACCTTTTTTGTTTACATGGAAAACTAGTATACAAACAAACAAAAATAAGTAAATAAAATGTTTTTGCTAATTTTCTTAAACTAGTAGCTTATTCTTGAGGCTGTTCACGTTTGGGGATAGTCTGGAACAATCTAGATCAAGAAGTTGTTTTTGGAACACTCCAAATGTGTACCTAATCTCCTTTGGATAGGTAAGATCTACTGCATGTGTCAAGGCAATAAACATGCAGTCTGAGACCCATCAGCCATAGGTGAAAATTCGCGATATAGAAAGACCATATACATAAACTTTTTTATAGTTTAAGTAGGGCTGCAACAACTAATCGATTTAATCGATTATTAAAATAGTTGGCAACTAATTTAATAATCGATTAGTTGGGTCTACGTTATTATACACATAAGTACAGTGGCTACC